CCGTCTCCTAAGTGTGCATTAACAATCAATTATTTGCCTGATAGTTCCAAAGCCGGGAACTGAGATATTCCCAGCAGGGACAAAAGGAAGCCCAGAACGGTGCTCATTTCCCTGGTCTTTCGAAGACACAGAGAAATCTCGAGAATTAGACCCGCGCTGCGCTCCACCTGGTGCGGCCCTGTTAGACCTCGCAGGGACCCTCGCCAGACCCAGGCCCAGCACCGGGGACCGAGCGCTGGCGCGCAGGGAGACTGGCGACGTCAGTGTGAAAATAGAGGGAGAGAAAGAAAAAAGAAAAGAATTTTTCAGAGGCAAGTTCTTAACTCTGAAGCAGAAAGCTTTATCTCACATGGGGAGAGCACATCATCCCGGATTTGAACGTTAAGGAAGCCCTGCATTTCTCGCAGAAGACTCAGAAATCATATTCCCCAAAGTGAAATGAATCACTTTGCACTTTAGGACCTATTTTAGACTTCCACTTCCTTTCCATAAGAAATTAGTCTTGTTTTCTCTTCACCCTCCCCCTTTGCCCTGTCCACATCTTCTTCACTTAGGGATTCGCCGTGATTTCTATAAACGTGGAAGAATCTTGCATTCTTTCACCTGTGTCGGTTGGTAGCGCACTTCTTAGGAACATTTTCCAAGAAAAGAGGAACGCTTAGGTCCAGGAACTCGACGTCGTGGTTTAAAGCTCGATTCCAAAGCCGTCGTAGGACTTGCTCCGCACCACCGACCTGCCCCGTCAAAAGCGCGTTCACTTACCCATCTCGGAGGAAGAGCGCTCCCAATCCGCAAGTGTTTTTTCTCGGTATCCAGCGGACAACAACCTCGGCCAGAGGCCTGGGAGGAGGGGGAAAAAGAGAAAACAACAGAAATTGGAACAGAGAAAGGAAGATAGAAAATGTAACACTATATCATATCTTCACCGGCCTCGAGCCCCTTTGGTCTAAGACATCGAAACCAGGTCCCCAGCAACTGACCGCTAGAGCAGAAAGCGTCACTTTGGGGTCTGAAAAATAAGAGGCGGGTGCGATTGGGGGAGGGGTCGTGGAAGTAGAGGAAGGACGTATGATTAGGAATGAAGGAAAGAAACCCTTCATAAAAAACACACGGGAAAAAGTGAGGATGAAATACTATCTGAAAGATCTTCGGGGCCTTTTAACTCTTACAGGTAGGTAGCTCTTGGGAAGAACCCGTGTTGGCATGAAAGAAAATCTAGACGGCCTCTATTCTTTCCATATCTCGAGGATCTGGCCTTGAGTCGCAACATAAAGAGGAGGGAATTCTAATTCAAGTTTCACCTACCCTGCTTGTTGGAAAGCCTGCTCGGATTTTCACGTTGGAGAGTCCCATCCTTCTGGCAGAAGCTGGAGTGGTGTTGAGGGGCAGGTTATCTGGTGAAGTAGGAATGTACAGGAACCCCGCCCTCTAGGCATAGTTACACAACCCAAGCCACCCATCTCAGCCAGCTCTAAAACCTCTCATGATCTTCACCTTCACCCTTTGTTAGCCTAATTCTCCCGCAGAATCTCAGTCTCACACACAACCAGCCCCTTTAGCTATTCATAAAATTAATTTCTCAAGAGCGAATTATTCCGATTCATCCAAATTTTTCAACAATAGTGTAGACAGAAACTACGCTTTGTAATACCACTCTTTTATATGGAGCTTTAAATAAATCTGATTTATATACCCATTTGGGTGAAATGCTACCAATTTATTAAAATCAATACATTGTAAGTCTCATTTATTTTGCCTCTCTGAATTTGATTTGTCCTAGAAATCACATGAAAGCTACCATGATCATAAGGATATTTGTATTAAATATTGTTAGTTCTAGACCTTATGTTCATTTTATTTCCAATTTTGCAGCAGACTGAGGAAATAAATATGTTTGGAAGAATTCTTACTGTTCAGGTTGACATCCTTTTCTCAGTGTTTTATATATTAATAGTTTTTATTGACTTATGGTAGGCAAATTCGGGTATTTTACTTTAAACTTGTAAATAAATATAGGGATCTCAAGTGTTGAGTTGTGATCATTTTCATTTTCCAAAATCTCCAAAAGGTCTACCACTATCTCAAAAAAACAATTATAAGCTTGAAAGAAAATAGTCTTCACAAAGTTTGAAGTATTTTTCTGGCATGAGGTAATTTTAAATGACAAAGGCTGGTGACAACAAACAAGACAACATTACAATTGATCTGATGCAAACGTATATTAAATGTCAGGCCAGATTGTCATTGGCCTTTTAAAAGATATCTTCAGGAATTATAGGATATATCAAGGTAGACGAAATGTTCACATTAGGCTTTAGAAGACCTTCCAAGTTTTCTCTTTGTGTAAACCTCGTCATGTGTAGTATGCCTAATAACTAGATTTCTAATCATATCTGTTGTTTGTGTAACTTGGATATGTGTCCAGGCATAACTATTCCAGTACTTAGTTTCTATGAATGAAAAGAAGCCAATTTTATTCTTGACTTCAAAGTGCAAAGTTTGCCTTTGAAATTCTATTTCTCTGAATCCAAATAAGCACTTTGAATCACAAATAAATAAGTATTTAACATATAACCATAAAAAATTCATGGAGGATTTTTTTTTTTCTGTATCTATGTCCTTTCACCTCAGTTTGAGTTCAACTTTCTTTTCAAGTTTTGGTAGGTGAAATACTATATTTCCTCTGTGGTAGTACATTCTCATTCCACAAATAAAACCCATGGCAAAAGCAAACAATAAATCTTCACCTTTTCCCAGCTTAAACATAAGTCTTTCTTCCAGGTATTCTGGATCACAATTGTGTAACCAGGATTTCCTTTGCCTAACCTCAGCACATGTACTCTACTTTTTATCGGCCACACATATGGGGTTCAAAAAAATAAGTTGTGAACTTTTCTTTTATGATTCATTCTGAAGAACCATTATGTTTCAAGAAATTTATATCTCTGTTGAATGTTTTCTCATAAGAAAGTAAAATCATGTGTAGACTGCTCAAAGAAGGTAATTAAACTAGCTTTCTTGATCTACTTTTTGCTCACATCCCATATATTTGCTCACACCCCAGTTTTTTAATCTCTGTGTGCCTCAGTCTCTGTCTCTCCTCTCTTCTCTTCTGTCTTCCTCTCTCCACCTACTCCCATTTTACAATATTAACTATTCTGCATTTCAATTTCAAGTCTACTTTAGTCAGCTTGCTTCTGCCCTACCCCCCCCAGCAACTCTCTGCTTGCTGATAACATCTTAAGGACAGATTATTTTTCATTGGGCCCATTGTAAGAAGTAGCCAGCTTATTGCATTACTGCAGAACACATTTCAGACTATACAATTGTAACAAATGAACAACTTGTCCTCTACAGACTCACCGCAGGATCCAATTAGTTACTAAACCTTTTACTCAGGTTTTCCAATTATTTTTTGGAGTTATCGCATTTGGGCTGCCTGAAATGATTAAAAATGCTTTCATTTCACATATATGCCTATGTATATATGCATACATAGGCATATCGCAAAGTAAAACAAAATTATAACTTAGTGTAAGCAAAAGGAACAAATCTTTAAATTAAATTATACAGACACATTTAAGAGAGAATCAAAGAAGTACCTCTATGTTGTAAAAAATGAGGAATAAAAGGAGAGAGAGGCATGTTGCTTCTTCTGAATATCTAGAATTTTAAATAGTTATTATTTAAAATGAATATCAACATTGATCTGCAAGTCATTACAACAGGTGATCACTTCAGCAAAATCTATATTGCAATTTCAGCACATCTTTATTAGAATTCTTCCATTGTGGGTAAACAGCCACAAAAATAAATGCTGACTTAGAAAGTATAAATACAAATATTTAAACAAAAATGTTTGCAGCATTCATAGCGCAAATTGTACCTGAACTGAAGGGCTCTGTGTACCTCTATATATTACATATGTGTTCATTATTCACTTCTATCTAACCATATACATATATTTATTTATAATTTGCCAAGTGCTATAAACAAGATACCTGAAACAAAGTATATAAAAGCATTCTATTAACTGATTTAAAAATAAACAGCGATGCACATAAAATTAAATATCTCTTTCTTTTGCTGTATATCCACAAAAACTTAAAAGATATCAGCTGAAAAGCCTATACTTTGTTTAAAGCTAGTGTTTATTAAATAGCCTGCTCCTGGTAAAGTTTGTCCACAAAGGGAAAAAACACACTATTTCCATTTTTAGAGTAGCAGTTCAAATTAGAGGAGCAGTTTAAATCTCAGTTTGGCCAGAAGAGCCTTTGAATTCCCTATAAATTGAATGGTCTTTTTAAAAATCAGCTCCACTTAATAAAAGAGACAAAAGTATCAAGATATATATGAATTTAGCCTATTTTTTATTTCTGTGTGTTCATAGTAAACATTTTTGTAAGTGACAAACACGGGCATATGACCACAGTATCACAATCAAGAAATTTTAAGACAACATTAACAATCACTCAAATTTATGCGGCATTTGCGCAACACAGGTTACATATTTGCAAGGTTTACCTATAAGTACAATAGGTATTAACATTTCACTACATTTAGAAAAAATAAAAGTGACCTGTTAGTGACCACATACATCAAAATATACACAACACAAACTGAAGGCAATCATTAATTTTGTCCCCTTCCAATTCAATTAAATGGGCAGTGTTGCCTACTGAAACGACTTTCCTTTTTTGTTTGTTTTGATACTTAGTATATCAAGTGCATTTTCTAGAATCCAATCTTTGGTCTAAAAGTAAACAAAAGAAAATAAAAAAAAACAGTTCTCTAAAGAAAAGGACAAAACAATAGATGGCCAAAATAATTTCTTGGGCACCTTTACTACGAATGCTTCTTAAATACAAATTACAGTTTTAACATTTTAAAACTCTCCCCATAATTTAGGTTGTTCTCAAGGTCTGCATCCGCCAGAGAGATCCATGATAACTTATAATACTGCACACATGGAAATCTGGAGGCTCTTAGAGATAGACTTGTCAGGTTTGAATGAAATGGCAAAGCAGTCACTATTTAGATACACATTCTACTATAATTTTGACTTCCAAACCTTATATTCTACAATGTATTCTCCCCACATTGCACCTCGCTGACACTCCACACCTTGTTAGAATAATAAACAACCCTAAAGACTGAACAAACGTACAGAAACGGGAGGGGGGCTTAATAAAAAATACCTGGACTTATTTTTAATTATCATTTACAATGCAAATGTGTGTAAAACGTTCACTTACAGTCTGGTCCCAGGGATGTTAATGTATTAATGGGTTGGAAGAAGAACCCTGATTTTGATGTGTGAAATAATCAGACAGTCCCCCGGACAGTCCCGTCGTAAAACTTGGCAAAGAGGGTCTTAAAGACTCACAGGGCAGGGTCGAGGGGGCCTGCGGCGACGTGGAGGACGACGCGGCCCGGGCGCTCATGGACGTGCTGCTCTGCGAAGTCATTGACGGGTGCGGGACGTGGGGGAAAAAGTAACTGGTCTGGCCCGCCAGCAGGTTGACGGAGCAGGGATTGAGGGAGTAGGTCCCGGAGCAGGGCACCGACAGGCCGCAGGGCACGGAGGCGGCGAGCGCGGCAGCCGTGAGGTGGTGCGTGGCATAGGGGATCTCGCCGTTGACCAGCCGGTCCACGCTCAGCCCGTTGGCCGTGGAGAAGGAGTGGTTGTTGCCCAGCGAGTTCTGAGTCAACACGGAGCTGTAGGGCATGGGGTGGCTGGGGTAGGCCGACGTGGTGCCGTTGTAGCTCAAAGTGCTGCTGGCGCGGGGGTGGTGCAGGGACAGGAAGGGCGACATGGGCCAGTAGAGGGAGCCGGCGCGGTCCATGAAGGTGAGGCCGGTGGAGGTGAGGCGCGCCCCGCGCTTGAAGGCCAGCTTGGCGCGCGACGTGGTGGAGCGGCGGCGCAGCTTGCCCGTGGTGCCCCCGATGAACACGTCGTCGCTCGACGGGTCCAGCATCCAGTAGTTGCCCTTGCCCGGGTCGTCGTAGTGGCGCGGCACCTTCACGAAGCACTTGTTGAGCGACAGGTTGTGGCGGATGGAGTTCTGCCAGCCCTGCTTGTTCTCGCGGTAGTAGGGGAAGTTCTTCATGATGAACTCGTAGATGCCGTTGAGGGTCAGCCGCTTCTCGGGGCTCTGCCGGATGGCCATCATGATCAGCGCGTTGTAGCTGAACGGCGGCTTCTCGTACTTGCCGTTC